GTCAGGGACATGGTTGGTCTGGAACATGGTTGGTCTGGAACATGGTTGGTCTGGAACACGGTTGGTCTGGGACATGGTTGGTCTGGAACATGGTTGGTCTGGAACATGGTTGGTCTGGAACATGGTTAGTCAGGAACATGGTTGGTCTGGAACATGGTTGGTCTGGAACATGGTTGGTCTGGGACATGGTTAGTCTGGGACATGGTTAGTCAGAGACGTAGTTGGTCTGGAACATGGTTGGTCTGGAACATGGTTGGTCTGGGACATGGTTGGTCTGGGACATGGTTGGTCTGGGACATGGTTGGTCTGGGACATGGTTGGTCTGGAACATTGTTGGACAGGGACATGTTTGGTCTGGGACATGGTTGGACAGGCAGATTGTTGGTCTGGACTGTTGATCTTCCCTCAGTTCCTCAAACCTTCTATATTTTTTGCTGTTTGTAGATTTTGGTGTGAATCAGAGAAAATCCTTGAYAAATTCAAACTGTATCTTTTTAAAACTCAATAAAGCTGTTTGTTGTGTAAACACCTCAGCCTGGTTTCAGGTAAATGATTAAGGGTCCAGAATGTGTGACGCTCGGTCCCACGATGAGTCATTCTGAGCTTCTGACCATTGGTTTGAGTTGTGACGAGAAATCTGCATCACTGCCAGGCGTTTTAAACTCTTCGTAACGTTTCTCTGGACTCTGTTCTGAGGAGAACAAACAGAGTAAAAAGCCTTTTTTCTATAAGCTAAAATGTGCCTCCAGCATCAGCTTCTACTCAAATCAAACTTTTAAAAACAAACCGTAGCATCAACCGGAGCTGAGCTGATGTTTGAGTCTGTTTCTTAAAGGAACAAACATTTTGCTGGTTTTATGATTTGCTGACGACTCATCGCTCTCCGAGCGTCATGTCGTACAGAAACACTACAGAAACAGCCGAAACGTCAGTTTTTATTGCACTTGTGGCTGACGCAGAGGAAGCGATGAATAAAAAGTTGCACTTGAACGTTTTTTGCCAATCGTCCATCCGTCTGTGAAGATTTCAGAGGAGAAAACTTATTTTTTAGACAGTTTTCCTATTTTTCCTAAAGATTTTTATCTTCTAAACGGTGCTTGTGGAGTCATGTTTAAGATTGTTTTCTTTCTCAGGTTCTTTGTCTTGTTTTTGTTGTCTGAGCACTTTGTTTTGTGTCGATAATAAAGATGTAAAAGTATCTGAAAAAGGCTCAGTCTGACAGTAATCTTTTTATTTTTGAGTCTTTTCATACTTTGAAGCACTATTATTAAAACTTATCTTTCTAAAACTTGTTTAGGTGTTGTTGTTTTTTAGAATAAGTATTTCTGYGGAGCAAAGACGACACGTTTCAGATCGAGAAAGAGTCCGGCAGTCCTTCTGAGTGAGCACAGATGATCAAAACAGCAGAAAAAATAAAAATAATTTAAAAAATGCACTTAACAGATAAGAAATCCACAGTTAAGAATGAAAGTGGATTTTTGTTATGACTCAGCATTAATCAGTCTTCTTCTGATGAGATGTTTTAGGAGGAATGAACTCCGACAGTTGGATCTGTTTTATTTCACGTCTGAAGAACCTCCGTCTGGTTTTCATCACTATTTTTGTTTGTTTTGGCTCATTTTCAACTGTTTTTTTTTTAAAGAAGCAACAAAATTAGGTAAACACAAAACATATTAAAACATTACCTACGGCTAAAAGTATCAAAAGGCTAGCTAAAGCCTAAAGTAGCAAAAAGCTAGTTAAAAGTATCAAAATACTAACTAGAAGCTAAAAACAGTTAAAGTTAGCTAAAAGCATAAAATGACAAAACTCTGGATGAAACCTAAAAGTAACAAAAGTCTGGCCTAAAAGTGGTAAACCATATCTTCTACAACTAGATAAAACAAGCTAGAGGCAAAAAGTAGATTAAGGCTAGCTAAGATCTGATGTTACAAAGGGATGACCTAAAAGCTAAAGTATTAAAAATAGCTTAATAAAAGCAAAAATTAGCTAGAAGCTTAAAGCATAAAAAGTCTGGCTAAACGCCAAAATTAGCAAATGGTATCTGAAAATAGTTGAATATAGCTAAAAGTAGCCAAAGGCTAGCTAAAGCAAAAGTATCAGGAGGCTAACTTAAATCAGATGTAGCAAAAGGCTAGCTAAGAACTAAATGTCCTAAAATGCTAACTAAAATCATCAAAATGAAAGAAACTAAAAGTAGCAAAAAGCTGTTTAAAAGATAAACTTGAGGTAGTTACAATTAGCAAGAACTACCTAGAAGCTAAATGTAGCAAATTGCTAGCTAAAATTTGATTTAGCAAAAGAATATATTGAATCTTAAAATATCACATGGTAGCTGAAGTTGAGCGAAAAACTACAGATACCAAAGGGGTCGCTAAAATTCAACATAGCAAAATGGGACCTAAAACCTAAAAGTATCTAAAGGTAGATAAAAGCTAAAATAGCAACAGCCTAGCTAGAAGCTAACGTAGCTGGACAGTACAGCTACRTGTAGTTAAATGTATCACGAGTAAAAAAAAAGAAAGAAAAGCAGAACCTGTAGCTAAAGCAGAGTTCAATAACCGATGCTGGTTATTAATGGGTACTGWGTAAACATCAGGTCCATTTGGATCCTCGTGAACCAAACCAGGCTCACATTCGGCTCATTAAAGTGTAAGAGAAGTGTCACGTTTTAGCTGTTTTCTTCTCTTTTATCTTTAACCAGGCCCCAGAGCAAACTAGTCAAACTTTATGTGTGTCATTTGGGAACATTAAGCTGAAAATCTGTGACGCAGCTTGAAGTAAGAATGTTGGTGTAAACAGAAGGCCCATCAACGCTGATAAGAACCCAAACCTCAGCCAGGGCTGCTGGTTAATCTTTAACTGCCCMGCCCTCACCAGTGGGAGGAGGATAACTGATAAATGTTGGCGAACATGCTCACACAGGAGAAACCAGCCAAAGATCCACCGGGACTTCTGAGGATTCTGTGCTCTGGACTGGGATCCACGGACCAGGACGTGGCGTGAAACACCTGGAAGGTGAAACTGCTGAGTGAGCATGAAAACCCAAAGAGAAGTTTCTGATTCAAACAGTTTGTCAACTGTTAGAGTCCCTGGAGAACCTGGGATTATTTAATCCAAAGTGAAGTCTTCAGATTGAGCTGTAATCCTGTAAAGAAACCGTCTCCTTCGGGTCTTCAGAGAGACGGCGCCCAGCAGGACTGATAAGATTATCAATCAAACCCTGGAAAAATCTGGACTCGGCTCTGTGCGGTCATGAACGGGGGAAATAATCTCATAAACTGGCGGGAACTGGAACCCAGCTATCCGGTGAAAATCTTCATGACCGTCCTCTACAGCCTGATGCTGCTGACGGGGATTGTGGGTAATTCCATCACCATCAGAGTCACACAGGTGCTGAAGGACAAGGGCTACCTGCAGAAGAACGTGACGGACCACATGGTCAGCCTGGCCAGCTCCGACCTGCTGGTGCTCCTCATCGGCATGCCCGTGGAGCTGTACAGCGCCATCTGGTTCCCCTTCAGCGCCGCGTCCGGCGACGCCTCCTGCAAGATCTACAAGTTCCTGTTCGAGCTGTGCAGCTACGCCACCATCCTGAACGTGGCCACACTCAGCTTCGAGCGCTACGTGGCCATCTGCCACCCGTTCCACTACAAAACCCTSAGCACACGGCGGACCTCCGCCCTCATCGCCTTCGCCTGGGCGGTGTCCGTCCTGGTGGCCCTGCCTCTGCTGTTCTCCACCGGGACCCAGGGGTACATACCCAGCCGGGAGAACCGGCCGGTTCAGAACCTGACCTTCTGCACCAACCTGAGGGAGCACTGGGTGATGTACAGGACCAGCATCTTCGTGGCGTTTGTCGTCTACATGATGGTGTTGGTCTGCGTGGCCTTCATGTGCCGGGCCATGATCCTGGTTCTGCGCAGRCCTTTGGGGTCCGTGGATAAAGGCATCAATGGGGCTCAAAACATCGCCAAGCACGAAAGCTCCGTGGTCAAGACGGCCAGGAAGCAGACCATCATTTTTCTGGGTAAGTCGTTGGTAAATTATCTGGATGTATTTTCCATTTAACAGATGAGCTTTTTCACTAACCTTTACTAGACCGTAATCGCTAACAAGCTAGCATCAACAGGTTTGTGTCAGCCTCACCTGAGATGAAGACACACGTGGCTGCCCGATCTGTACCGGAAGCGCGACCCGTACTGGCCCGGATTGTTTTTAGCGTGTAGCGTTTAGCTAAACTGATGACATTCGATTTCAGTCGTTCATCACAGAAAGGCAACATTTGCAACAGATGTGGATTTTTTTTCCAGGAACAAAATAAAACAGATAAGATGAGTTCTAACATTATTGTCTAGAACAGTGGTTCCCAAACTTTTTGTCTTCTGACCCACAAAATATCCATGGCAAAAACTTGTGACCCCAAATATTACTGGTCTGAATACATGAACTTCGTTAATAACCCTAAAAACACAGGCTTTTTGACAATCTAAACAGCTTATACACAAATATAAATAC